ACGCAGAATCCCCAGTGCTGTGCGGAAGAGAAATTCCTCGCCATCACGACAGAACACGTCCCACACTCGGCATGCAATGTCCAGTGGGAGTGATTTACTGTACAAGGTGAAGATCCTACACAGACAAAAGCAGATCTATGATCAATACATCTGTACCTCAAAACACAGGGGCACATTTCTGACAGAAGAAACAAAGTAACTCACTTACCAGTCAATTAAATAAATATCAGAGGACAGGTTGTTATTTTTAAAATGTGCAAAAAGCTTTGGTAGATTTTCTTCAAAGAACACTTCAAATGCTGCAAAGTATGTCAACATCTAAAAAAGAAAAAAAAAAAGATAAGAGCATCAGAATAGTCTTGACTAATGACTATTTTCTTATTGACCGCACAACTTAAAAGACTTCAAGACTGCTCATTGTTGAGCCCTTTGGAGGTGTCGCGGGCCTATCAATGAAATACAGAGAAAGGAGGGTGCCCACCTGATGACCCCAATGAAGTGATTACCCCTACTCTCCACTCAAGATGTCAACAAAGTGCGGATTATTCTATCAAGTCCTACACGCTCAACTTTACCAATAAAACATGACATTACATTTTTTGTTTTTGTCATTAAAATTATGTCCGAAGTAATCTTTTCCTGTATGTGCTTATCCAGTATGTGTGAGGTGTGTGTGATAAAGCACACATAAAACCCATTCATACCATCTGTGATGTTTAGTTCATTGCCTATCGCTAGACTCCAGACTTTGCCCCTCACACTGGGTGGCAGACCCTGCCACCATAAATCCCTCACCCGCTTAGATGAACACCTGGAATTGTGAAGAGAAGGACCGAGTGAAGCAAGTCATAATTTTTATATATTTGCGTTTATATATTTTTTTCTCTAAGCATATTTTAATTGTTACATTGTTTATTTCCTTTTTGGACTTTCAGCCACCTTTAGGTTTTATTCACAGGGATAGCAGAGAGATCATTGGACATAAGGATAAGAGCTGTATCTGATTTAAACACACATTGCTCACATGAGCGCCTAAGCTCAACATGTTAGTACACATGCACTAAATTCTAGTCCATGTCTCTCACTAGTTGGTCAGTACACCTCTTGCCAAATATTACTCTCCTTGGAATGTTTTTGGCTCTTCTTTGATCTATTGTCTGTTATTTAATTATATGGAATGTCAAGAATATTTGATTGTGTGATATATTGTGTCAATGATTTTTGTGTGCAGACTCACATGCTTTGCCAGTTGGGTAATATCTCCTGACTCCAGGTGAGAGCAGCATTGCCGATGCGTTCCTCTAGTTTACACCTGTCCTCTAGTTGTTTTTTCCGTTTCTGGGCCTCTTTCAGCTCTGCACAGAAACACACACACACACACACACACACACACGTAGTGAGAGAGAAGGAATGGAAGTCAAATGGAAATGTTTCAACAGGATTCAATTTAACTTTTGCAACAGCGTCCTCTACAGCACAAAATTGGACACACAGGCACAAACAAATGTGTGGAAAAAAAAGTCACCTCTCTTCTTGGCCTGAGCTACCATCTCCTCATATTCTTGTCTGTGTTTCTGGGCTTCTTCCTCAGATTTTGCAGGAAGATTTCTACACACAGATACATAATGACTGTCAACAGATACATTACTATCCGTGAGAGAAAACATTCTAAAACACTTTACATTTATAACTCCTTTATTATTCATTATCTACTGTGCTGCATGGTATAACATTGCATGCAAGATGGAATTTTTTGTTCTAGGACAATACAGGAATGAGAGGTTTCAGGACAGGAGGAGACATACAAAACACGTACGCTGGACGGTTCTCCAGTATAAGGGCTGTGGTTGAAAGTGGCTCAAAGTCCAGGTTCCTTCTTACATTCTTATTGGGAGATATGGAACTGCTTGACTGTCCACTCCTTTCATATTCCTTCAAAAAAATAATAAAATAAATAAATACTAATAATTTACAATAAATATATACACATTTTATGAATCATCTATAAAATAATGAAAATATAATAAAGCAAACATATAAATAATCTTATGATAAAAAAAAACACCTGTTGACACATTTCAATCATGAGACGCAAAAGCCAACACTGTATATAGTCCAAAGAATTACAACAAATGATACACTTTCAAACAGTTCAAGGCCAGCTGGGCGAAAAAAATTAAACAAAAAAACAGGTAATTCGCAACAACAAAAAATTTTTAAAGAGATTTTTACAATTGTAATTTATTCCATTTAACTCTGATTAATGTAATAGTTTTGTAATATTTTAATGAAATCTGCTTAAAAGAAAAACAATACAACATATACTACAATTACACTTTACAATTAAAATTGTTAAATAATTTTTTCCCCATATTGTACTGATGATTTTGGATTATGGCAATGAGGCTTAATCCTCAAGAAAATGATAAATAATACATTTCAATGTTTTAGACATAAGAACTTCGTGGAACTAATGCTTTCACAAGTTTTTAACATCCAGGGTTTTTGCCACACAATACTTTTCACAACCTGCACAAGTGGAAGCAGAAGTTCTCAAACAAGCAGGAACCGTGAAAAATAACACTCTTTGCAAACACAATGGGTCACAAATGGAATAAGAACAACTTGCTACTGTTACAGCATTTGAGTTTCTTTACAAAGTCTCATGTCACACACTGTACACCCCGAATAGTAATTCTGAAGTAAATCTGTGTATCTGAACAAAACGAAGATAAAGAAATACGTTTTGTTTTATTTATGCAGTCAGAAAGCACACACTATCGCTCATGAGTGAATATAAATATTTAATTTGCCCCGGCACTGCACTCTCTCAGAGACTATAGACAAAATGACCTACATTCCAACTATGAGCCAAATGTGTATAAGAAAAGGACATTAAGTAAGATTAGACGGGAAACTCCTGATTGGTTTTAAGAGTGAAAGGGGGACAGCAAACCAAACAAACAGGACAACAATATAGTCTAATTCACCAACACACGCAAATGTGCTTACACATGAACACCATGTACAAGTCATTTCCTCCATTCAAATGCTCTTTTTTCCTCTTCCTTCTCAGTCTCCTCACCTTTTCTTTTTCATCAGACAGAGAATAAGGAACGAAAAAGAAAAAATAATAAGACATGAACTCACCATGAACGCTGCGGTGCTGTTGAGACATTCAGAATCCAGCGTTTCAGACACTACACTCTACACCATTGCTGTATTTCCACAGCTACAAGCTTAAATGCCTTGTAGACCGAAAGGCAAGGCACAGCGGCAGAAGACCGCAAGGAATATGGGACACACCCTGAGAAACAGTAGCATGATTCTACTGTGCTCCTGCTCCTCTGCAGTTATTGCTGTCTCACTCCTGCTAAGTTACTTGACACCGTTTTTCCTTGCCCTCTTTCCCTCTATTATTTCACTCTAACAAACACACACCCAACTGGGAGGCCCTACATCAGAGGGATGCAGAGGATCAGCCCTTGTCCCGTGCACCTGCTGTGTCCATATACATAATGCAAATGTTACTCGTCATCATCACAGTGCTGAGAGAGGATCCATGATTTACAGGCATACTAATTGATTCCAGCTATTAGGAGCACAAGGCTCTCAGCACTGCAGTCTCATGTGATCAGTGCACTCTGTGCTCCGCTGTGCATGTCTGAGTCATGTACAAAGATGATAAATAATCTGCTTTATGTGGCCTGTGTGTCATCAGTTCTCATGAGCTTCCACTGATTCAAATAAAATATAACAAGGAACATTCTAACCACTTTAGTCTCTTGAGACTTTACAATTAAAACAAGTACATTTGCTTGTTTTAGTTGTAAAGTTTTAAGGGACTACAAACAGGTAGAATATTGCAATATTTAAAATCAAAAGCACTGATGCAGGAAAGAAGTGCATAATATTAAAGTGACCCTATTATGTCTTTTCGAATGTTACCATTCATGCAGTGTGTCATGTAGCTGTATGTGAACAAACTATCTGCAAAGTTGTGAAGACGATAAGTTGTCTATATATTTAAAAAAAAAAAAAAGTCGGCTCGCAATCGCCTAAACGAGTCGTCAGGAATTCGAATCTTATTCTGTTACGGCTCTACGTCATGAAGACATTTGCATAATGTCCGCCCACTTGTTAACACTTGACACTTACCACTGAGAAACGTCCTGCTCCAGTCGTGCTTGCGAATCAGTCTCTTGTCAATCAGCCACTTCAACAGTTTCATCATCAGACTCCGGCTCAAATTGGTAAGGTACAATCGATACCATCTTTTCTATGTATTGACAAGTCTCCAGGGCTGTCGTTCTGTCATGGCAATGGGCGTTTCGTTTCCGACATGCGCTGTACGCAGTAGACCAATCCAGAGCCAATCTCTCTACGGCTCTGGACCAATCACAAAGGACTGCGGCATCTGACCAATCACAGCAGTGAGGGCTCACGGAAAGGAGGGGTTTAGAGAGACAGATTCTTCGAACTGCTTCGCACGAGTCGTTTACAAATCATTTAGAAATGAGGTCAAATTAAATCTATTTTTTGAGAAAACTAACATGTTTTTTGACCTTGCATGCATGTAAACCTGTTTTAGGAGACTCAGAAAACAATATTAGCAATCTTAGAAATGGCATAATAGGGGCACTTTAAGCTAATCTTAACTCATCTCTTCCTATAAGCCACTGCTACAGAGCCTAAATAAACCAGCAGCTCTAAACCGGTCACCCAATACCCCAATCTTCCATTACAGCTGCAGAGAACAAAAGCAAGAGATAAAGGCAGGAGTTGGATGTGGATGAAATCTAGATGGACATGGGGAGGCTGAATCAGGGGGTTCAAATTACCTAAAGCAAACAACAGGCCTGTACACAGGAAACAAAGCCCCATTCACAACAATATCATAACTCTGCATTCGATTGATTCATGCATGTAACATGTAAATGTAATGTAAATGTTTCACTGTTAAAATCATTTCTTCCAGCTGAGAATTTTTTTTCAAGCGGTCATGGGAGGAAAGTGTTACCCAGCATATTTCTGACATCAAAGAGACACATGACAAATAAAAACAATGTGTTCTTAAATTGGCTCAAAGTACCAAGCAAGTTTGATATCCTCAGACTGGACATCATACACTACACTCTGCCAAATCTGTCAACTCCGACTGTCCAAAATCTGCAGACTGGCTAAAATCTGGCTCGGACTTCAAACTTCAAACCAGACAGCAAATTAAGACAAAATCCTGGACTAACATTTTGTAGTGTATCTCAGTCTTTAGTTTAAAAGCAGCACATCACAGGACTTGCTTTGTTAAAGAGGATCTGACATCACATTTATGTGGCTTAAACATTCGAATAGGTAGGGCAATACTCAATGTACATCATAAAAATACACTGAATACAGAAACTATTTTCACAATTTCGGTGCAACCCTACTACATGAAAAGCGCTCAAAAATCAGGTACATTGCATTTTGACTTCTTGTAAGATCTTGTATGAGTGCAGGTGTGTGAACGTACCTTTTGTATTTTCCTGGAGTCTTTGATTGAAAGTTCTTTATGTGGAACTTTACCAAACAGCTTCCAGCCAGGCTCTCTCTGTTCTTCCTGTGCACCCGTATCCTTCATCCTCTTAGCAAAAAGACTCCTTACAAATAAAGAAAAGAAATAAAAGGACCGAGTTAATAGAGAGCCACATCTACGGATAATTACCTTCTCAAATTTTTTTTAAAATACCTATGTCGTCACTATTTTTAAGCAACGTGAATTCCACAAATGTGAATTTCACTAAATACACAGACCAAAGAGAGAAACTGAAAAGAATACTGCACTATAGTAGAGACTAGAGAGTGAGGCACAAGGGGGGGAAAATAACATTTGAGCTGTTTTAAAGGATCGAGAAAAGCTTCAAGAAAGTCCATGTTGCAGAGATAAAAAGGGCAGGCAATTTGGAGACACGGCCACGCTATTCAGAGGCTTCTCAACATTTTTGACCTACAAGCCATTTTTTTTATATTCCACAATGCTTGTGAAACAAATACATGAGTGCTTCAGTAGCACTGAAACTGATATGGTTGATGATGGTAATATGCAAAATCATGGGGCCAAAAGCTGAAGTATATCAGTGTTATATCAAGTACTGCATATCATAGCTGAATTGGGGCCTGCAAGAAACTGTTTATTTTAAATGGACAATTTATATTAGAAAGAAAAATGTGAAAATATTAAATCACTTGTGATGAGAAACACCAGCATACCCTATAATCAGAAATTGAGATTACAATTGAAACATTGCAAATGTAGGTTGTTATACTAAAAAGACAAAACAACAACAACAAAAATCACAGAAATAATATTTTTAGGATGCTACCCCAATACAAAAACCTATATATAAAAATGTATATTTTATTAAAAAAAGATAAAGAAATATCTTCAGAAATATTCAGAATTCCAGCAGAAACAATAGAGAAAAAGGGTACACAAGAAAATTGCACACATGAAAAGTATAATGAAACTAAAAAATTAAAGGAACAAAAACAATTAGAAAAATCTACATTAGAAAAAGTTTAAAACTTTTGGTGAAGCTCACACAATCATACGCATAATAATACTACACAAATCATTAGTTTCTTGGTGTGAATTTAACAACATTACAAATGCTACGATACCTGTGGAAGAAGCTGGCGAGTGGACCCAGTCTCTTGGGTCTAGCCTCATGTGGTGTAGAGACCCCCACAGGATGCCTTTGAGGGCTGCTGACCTTGCCGTGTAAGTCGGTAGGAGATGAGAGTGAATTGTCAGAATGGTGCAAGACATCTTCATTCTCAAATGTAACAACAGCACTGGACTCGGATGTAACCATAAAGTCTAGGAAGTCCTCATTACTGACAGACAATGTGGCAGAAAACTCAGTACTTAAACTTGAAACACTGCACATTGAAACATCATCACTGCGGTTCAAAGTACCCTTGCCTGCCGCACTGGAGAGCCCGCCGGCAGCATAAGGACGTACCAAATCAAAGTCACAACATGGGAAGGTGGAAGACTTGAGTATGGAGCTATCTGAAATATCCAAGTTTAGTGTTGCTGGACTATCATCATGTGGAGGTGGAACCACCAGCTCAGCAGTGGTGACTCGAGCATGAATGTGCTCAAGGGAGGGGATTCCAGAGTCCTGAGAGGCCAAGCTGCTGCGATCCTCATCACATGTGCCATTAAAGGGAGTGAATGATTTGCAGTCGAGGGAGACATGTGGCAGCTGAGAGTCTGAAGGCATGTGATGGTTGACATGGTTTTGGGTGAGAGGCTTTGAGGCAATCTGCAAACACTGGTTGTGTGAAGAGTTGCTGAACGATGAGACCTGGAAATCTAGAAAGGCAAATAACAAAAGAAGATCAGTCCTTATAAGGAAAAGTCTTATGGCTGTTTTGTCTCCTTTTAGAAAATAAACAGACATTTTTCTGAACCAACAAATGTCATTTCCACCATGTCAGATTACATACAGATTTTCATAGCATTCTGTGGTGGAAATGACAATGATGGAAATTA